TTAACATGCTTGAAAAATGGGTTCGAAATGTGGCCGCAAGCCACAATAGGGACAAGGCTTCCGAATTTATCGCTGAATCACACCGGCCACATCATTCATCCTGAAGCAAAAATAGTTTTAACAGTATTTTTACTTTTGAAGATACTTTTAACAGTTGTTCTAACTGATGTACTCTCATCAAAAAGTCAGGCTCTGGTGGCTGCTGTAATGGGGTGCCCATCCTGTCCACCTCCTTGATTGTTTTTCTCCTACCTGCTGGGAAAGAAAGCAATTTCCCACCACAATACCCCACTTCTTCAAATCCTCTACACAGTGCGGCTCCTCCCAAGCACCCCATTGCCACAGAAATAAAACCCAGCATATGAAAGTGGCACTGTCTGTGATACTCTGTGCCAGTGTATTGTGTACTATCGAGCTTCTTCCTGTAATTGTTTTTTTGTGTGAACCTCTTCCCCACAGCATTATCAATTCTTTTAAATCCGAGAGCATTTAAAGTATCCCCTCCTCCAAGACTTTCCATTGAGCTCGGCAAACAGAAGGGGTTTAATAAATGTGTTGATGCAACTTGAGGCAAGCTTTGCTCTAGTGAAATTTGATTGCTTTTTTTAATGATTAAAAAATAAAGAAAAACAATTGTCTGGCAGACATCTCACTAAAACAATGGTTAATAATTATGGTGGTAATGATTTGAATGGCAGCCTTGACACCCCGAGGCAACCAAAGGGACTCATCGATTCTCCTCCAACTGCTGCTTATGTGGATACAAAAGAATCATCCACCAGACTTTGAGCATTAGGGACATTGTGTATCACAGAGCAGCTGGTTGGCTAAATAAGGCTGTCAGCTGTCCCTGATATCAACCAACCCCCCTAAAGCTGAAGAGTGGCTAGAAAGGACTGTCCCCAACCTTCAGAGGTAGAGATCGGGTGATGTTCTGTTTTACACTGGGAGCTACTGAGCTATATGTTTAATGTCTTTTTGTGCAGAAAACGGAATGAGAGGCCACCTGGGTGACCACTGCTGCTCTTGGGAATCTAGCTGGGGTATGTTTTGGTGATGAGGCAAGAGCAGGCCTCTCTCAGGAGAGACAGTCCAAAGAAGCCTGCCTAGGTTTGATTATCCTCTCCCTGAGATAACCTTAAGCTCTTTTCAGTATTTAATCATTTTAAAGGTTTCCCTTTTAACTTTTCGAAGCATTTTAATTTGGATGTTGAGCTCATCTGTATGTAAGGAGTTTCTTGGGTGGAGAGGGAGGGAATAATACATATTAGAATGTTTTGAACACAGGAAGTACACATTAGCTATATCACCTAAGTTAATCTTCATAACAACCTCAGAAAGCATAAATGTTATGATATCCCTTTTTGAGACGAGGAAACAAAGGGAAAGAGGCATGGTGAGCGCTTTGCCCACAGTTATACGTGACACTGCTCTCTCTCGTCTCTCTCCCTTGTTCTCATGTTCATCCTTTTTTCTTTTGACCCTGTAATATCAAAGTTGTTGCAGTTTCCCCTTTACAGATAAATAAACTTACAAAAATCACTCTTGTCATCTTTATAGATAAGGAAAGTGAGGCTTGGTCACAAGCTCAGGGTGGACTGAAGTCTCCCTGACTTCACGGCCAGCGAAAAAATTCACAAACTTCCTCTCTCAATGCATAAAAATTTCCCTTTCCCTCATTTCTGTCTCAAGGATACATCAGGCCGGGCGCGGTGGCTCAAGTCTGTAATCCCAGCACTTTGGGAGGCCGAGACGGGCGGATCACAAGGTCAGGAGATCGAGACCATCCTGGCTAACCCGGTGAAACCCCGTCTCTACTAAAAAAAAAAAAAATACAAAAAACTAGCCGGGCGAGGTGGTGGGCGCCTGTAGTCCCAGCTACTCCGGAGGCTGAGGCAGGAGAATGGCGCAAACCCGGGAGGCGGAGCTTGCAGTGAGCTGAGATCAGGCCACTGCACTCTAGCCCGGGTGACAGAGCAAGACTCCGTCTCAAAAAAAAAAAAAAAAAAAGGATACATCTACTTTTATCTTCCTCCCCACACAACATCAAGATCCTACCACATAGTAGGTATGGATATGATAGTATCTTTAAACGTTTACGTAGATACAATTGTATCCTTATTGTAACTTTTCATTCAGCAAATGTTTTGCCCCATACTGGTGTGTCATGCAACGACATGAGACAGTTCTGTCTCCTGGTACCCCCAGGGGTTAGCTTAGAACTGTATGTGCCTACCTACTCATATTCTGTGTTTTGTGTAGGGCCAGATGCATCTTTCAACATAAGGGAACATAACAGCAAAAGATCCCACAGTAAATCAGGGTCCAAGATAATGCCAGTATAAGTTAACTGCTCTTCTCTGTGTTTTAGTCTCACCTTGGTGCATATCAGTTACCGTCTTTTATTGAAATTTATCTGTTTATATAGTTGTCTTCCTGTTCAGTAGCCTGGCACATAGTATGTACTCAACAAATGGTTGTTAAAAGAATAAATAGAATGAAGAAATGAATGACTGAATGAGTAAATAAAGCTCTCAGGGTCAGGAACCGTATCTTCCATCAGTGTCTGACAAAGCACCCAGCATTAAAGGGTGTTGTGTAAACATATGTGAATGAAACTATTGAACTAACCTTGGAGCTGAACCTGACATATTAGAGGTTCTTAGCATCATTAAGTTCCTATTTTTGACTTATCAGTCATCAGCTGGTTGTAGTTTCTGAGTATTATCTCTTTCTTCTTAGTGTCTCTGAATATGTGCTTTCTTTTGTAATTAAGATTCTTCACTTGGTAATAATTCTGGCCAATGGAATGCAAACTAACATCTGTTGCATGGCCAGGCAACACTAGCAACACCGGATTATTCCATGCCTGGACTATGCAACTTTCAGGCTTTTGTGCTTCAATTACACTGTTTGCTCTGCTTCTCATAATTCTCCCTCATGTTTTCTTCTCTGCTCCTCAACTCAAAGAATTCCAATTCATTCTTCAAGGCCAAGATCAAATATCACTTCCTCAAAGAAGCCTTTCTCAACCCCACTTTTTCTCTTTGCCATGATTCTCTATCATTTCATAGTTCTAGTTATCTCTCCCATGATGCTTTGTTCATACACTAACAAAATTGTTTCTATGTAATAGTTTCCTCTTCTATCACGTTAGCTTGGAGAAAATGAAATTTGTCCTGAGTATATTTGCATGTCTGTATTAGGGTTCTCTAGAGGGACAGAACTAATAGGATAGAGAGATAGGTGGATTGGCTCATGTGATTAAAGAGGCTGAGACATTCCTCGATAGACCATCTGTAAGCCTGGAGACCCAGGAATGCCAGTAGCATGGTTGTCCAAACTGGAGGGCCTCAGAACCAGAGGAAGCCCTTGGTGCACCTCTCATTCTGAGGCTGAAGACCTAAGAAGCCAGGAGGCCACTGGTGCAAGTCTCAGAGTTCAAAGGCTGGAGAACCTAGAGTTCCGATGGCCAACGACAGGATAAGAAGAGTGTCTCAGCTCCAGTAGAAAGAGCAAGAGAGCCTTTCCTCTGCTTTTTACTCTATCCACACCCCCAGCTGATTAGATGGTGCCCACCCACGTGGAAGGAGGATCTCCCCAACTCAGTCCACCAACTCACATGCCAATATCCTCTGGAAATAACCTCATAGACACACCCAGAAATAATGGTTTAACACCTATCCCTTAATCCAGTCAAGTTAATACCTAAAATTAACCATCACAATCTCCAAAGTCAAACATAGTGCCTGGTTGGAGACCTACATGTGTCGAATCAATCAAGAAAACTCACAGTGTGGTGTGTAGTATACAGAGTTACTTTAACCTAGGTCTGAGTTATAGCTCAAGCCACTTACTACCTGTTAACCTTGGACACATTATTTAACCTTTCTGAACCCTTGTTTTCTCATTTGTAAAGCAAGGATGATAAAAATAATATAAATTAACTTTTGAACATGGCTTGAGAATTTAATGAGTTAACACCTTTACAGTTATGCAGAGCAGTGCCCGAGGCACAGTATGCACACAATAAATATTAGCCCTTATTTTAATAATCATCTTATGTCGTGAGATTGGTCTCCAAGAAGGGCAGTGAAAATATGATCAAAAGAATCACCAATTGCTGCTCAGGAGCATTGAAGGAGCACTTTGAGTTGGAAAAGTGTCAACAATTTTCATTGAAGCTAGATGCGCATGTCTATGCCTAGTGGGTAGCCCTTAATTTGCTTTTTCTTCACATTTCTTGGTGATTCAATGCTGAGGGACCCATGTCTCTGATACCTGGCTCAGAGCCCAGTCTCCTAGGATGCTATTTCAACTTGACCCAGCTATAAAAGCATAGGAGCCCCAGTCATCAAATAAAGCAGCAGAGCAACGAAGGTCTGTGCTGTCTGGTCAAGGGTTAGATTTGGATGGTTAGGGAGCTGGAAGATATTGGTATGGGATTGTGGGGTTGGAGAGATGGATTTGGCTTAGGAGAACGGAAGGAAGGCTCCAGCAGCAGGAAATCATTTTCTTGCTAGCCTGTGTTTCAGTTAGGGGCAAATATTAGAAGCAGGAACTGCCTCAAGGTAGGAGATAATAGGACTGAGGGTTTTAGGTAAGGGATATCCTGCTACAGAGATGATAATGTGATCTGGTATGTGTTTTTCTCTGCATGTCAAATGAATAACAAGGATTCATTTGCTTTTGCCACAAGATGCACAACATTCTCTACTCCTCCCTCTGCGGTTGCTGCTGGAGGCCACTCATGTAGGGCACCCATATTCATGACAGCTTGAAAGCACCAGAGAAAGCCAGCTTCTATGTTACATTGTAAAATCGCAGCAGGCTTATTTCTTTGAGAGCACGTACTGTTTTGAGTCCTGAGAAGACCCCTTTGTATCTTGCCTACCTCTCCTCTTTGAGAGCCTGTAACATACGTGCAGTGGGCATAGACCATGCACCAAGACTGCGCTGTGCTAGTGGATTTACTTTCGATTGCTAGTATAACAAATTACTACAAATTTAGGGGCTTAAAACAGCACCCATTTATTATCTCACAGTTCTGTAGGTCAGAAGTCCAGTAGGCTCAGCTGGTTTCTCTGTTTCAAGTCTCACAATACTGACATCAAGGCATTCGCTGAGCCGCTTTCCCTTCCGGAGGCTCTAGGGGAGAGTCCATTTCCAGGTTAATCCAGGTAGTGGGCAGAAATCACTGTCTGTAGGATTGAGGTCTGTTTCCTTGCTGGTTGCCATCTGGGCATCTCCCTTGGTATTTAGAGGTCTCTTTTGAGTCATTGTAGGTAGTCTCTGCACACCCAGAGCTAGGAATGGCATATTAAATTCTTCTCACCCTGGATTTCTTCTGTTTCTGCTTCTTGTGCTGCGTCTCTATGACAAACTCTTCTGCCTTCCACTTCTGCTTTTAAGTGCTCAAGTGATTAGATGGGGCCCCCTTGATAATCCACGATAATCTTCCTATTTTAAGGTCTGTAATCTCAATCATATCCACATTGTCTCTTTTGCCATGTAAAGTAACGTATTCACAAGTTCCCAGAGATTAGGGCTTGGAAATCTTTGGGGGACATTATTCTGCCTATCATAGCTAGGTTCTTTTCATATTTTTCTCCCATAATCCACATAACAGCCTTGTAAAGGAAGCATTGTTATACCCACGATACACGTATAGTAGCTGAGGTTCAGAGAGGTTCCTATTACAGCTGATAAACGGAGAAGCCAGAGTTTGAATCCTGCTTCAGAGCTCACACTTCTTCCTCTGTCAGAGAGGGAGGGGTGGAAGCAAAGCCATCGTTTGACCTGCCACTCTCATTGCATTTCCCACGATTGTTTCACTAGAGCTGCTTCTCAATTTAGCAAGGTCGTTACTGTGTCCACCAAAGATTTCTAAGGCTCCTCCTGGGTGCATGGTATGTGTGTCTGCTGGGTCTCAGCAGAAAACAGATGGCATGCTCAAATGAAGTTATTGAGAAGAGATTAATAAAAGGACTGTTTACAAGGCTGTGAGTGGGGCAATGGGAAACCAACTAGGAATGACAGAGCACATTGGCTAACAACAGCTGTTGCACCCCGCGCCTAGAGGAGCATGGGGAAGAAACAAGTTACTAGAACCCCGAGAGAAAGGAGAAACTGAAGGAGGAGCTGCCTGGCTGGAGCTGTGGCCTTCCATAGTGGAACACCGCTACAACCAGCCTGGCAGGGAAGTAGGTGGCAAACTAGATGACTTCACTCTCCTCACTCCCTCTGAACTCCCACTATTGGCAAATCTTAACCAGGAGCCAGAGGAAAGGGGAGTCTGTTTATGCAGTTCTTGATTTTAACTTTCCAGGCTCAGAGCAGAGTATAGAAAGGTAGAGGGTGGATCTGAGAGAGACTATCCAGCACTGTGAGACTGTCCTTCCCTGTGCCGTTGAAATCGGGTATGGCAGTGGGACTCACTCAGGCCGGTATGTTAGTTTCCTAGGACGACCATAGCAAATTACCATAAACAGAAGGCTTAAAACAAGAGAAGTTTATTCTCTCACTATTCTGAGGGCCACGCCCTCTCCAAAGGCTCCTGAGAAGAATCCTGCATTCCTAGCCTGGCAGCCTTTGGCATTCATTAACTTGAGCTGCATCACTCCAGGCTCTGCTGCTGTCTTCGCGGGGTCTTCTCTGTCTCTGTGTGCTCTCCTGTTCGTATAAGGACATCCATCATTAGATTTAGGGACCATCATTAGATTTAGGGATCATCTTGAGATCCTTAACTAAATATACCTGCAAAGACCCTATTTCTAAATAAAGATCACATTCTAAAATTTGGGGTGAACATGAATTTGTGGAGGGAGGTGGGGTGGATAATATTCAGCTCACAAGGCCGGGCACTGTGGCTCACACCTGTAATCACAGCACTTTGGGAGGCCGAGGCAGGCGGATCATGAGGTCAAGAGATTGAGACCATCCTGGCCAACATGATGAAGCCCTGTCTCTACTAAAAATACAAAAATTAGCTGGGTGTAGTGGTGCACACCTGTAGTCCCAGCTACTCAGGAAGCTGAGGCACGAGAATCGCTTGAACCCAGGAGGCAGAGGTTGCAGTGAGCCGAGATGGCACCACTGTACTCTAGCCTGGCAATAGAGCGAAAGACTCCGTCTAAAAAAAAACAAAAAAACAGAATGAATGAATGAATGAATAAATAAATAAATAAAACTCAACTTACGATAACCATGTACATCTGGACCAAAGTTTTTAGGCCTAGCTTGCAATTTTTTTCTTTTTTCTTTCCCTCTGCCATGGCAATCAGCAATGCTCAGACAGCAGCTGCCCGCTCAGCCTGGGTCCTAGAGTGAGGATGAGGCAGAGCAAAGCCCTAGGTGACCTACAAAGGAAACATAACATAAATAGAGATAAATGTGTCATCTCTCCTGAAGTATGCCACGTATGTACGGTAGTTAATGACCACAGCCCATCCCTTCAGAGATACTGCCGGCAGCCACGGTAACTCCCTACTTCCTTCCTTTCACACAAACACCCTTGAATTGACCGAAACCATTCTATAGACTCATTGTTTCTTTTAATCCCAACCCCATTGGCAACATTTTCCTGCACTGGAATTCCTCTTTGGGGCCAAGGCATAGAAAGAAATAGATCTCCAAGGACTGCCTTTTGTATCCTTAGAGGGAGAAGTTTTGTAGGAAAAGAAAATGAAGGCTAGAGTACATGGGTGTTCTCTGAAATGAGCTGCAGAGTAGCTGTCTGCATTGCAGACTGACAATTTCAAATGAATCCTCCACCAGAAGCAGCCAGGAATGTCTGTTGAGAAAACTATTTTCTGCCTACACAGGGCTCTCTAGGTGCACCCTTCTCTGCCCTGCTATGACCACTTGTGCAAAACCGCTGGAGAAACTGTGCCTCATGAAGTTTACTTATTGATGCTACTACATGAGCTCTCTGAGTTCCATCTGCCAATCTTCTTTTCTCTAATACTGACCTCATTGCTATGGGTGTGGGCCAATGGACTCGAACTATCTTTAGGGGGCCTTAAAAGTGAAATGGATAAACTGGGTTTGAACAGACGAGACAGACAGACATGTCTGGAATCATGAGAAAGGTTGCCTGATTCCAGGCCCCGCCCACCTCACTAATCCGTCTTGAACAGCCTCTGAGTTTGACTGCTCCCACATACTAACTGCTGCTGCAGAAGCTGCAACTTCCCTCATCTCTTCACCAACCACAAGCCCTGGGAACCACAAACGGTAGCAAGAAAGAAAGATGTTATACCAACACTGAGCTTAGAGGGGTGGTTCTGAAAGGGTGCTACTTGGATTTACAGCATCTGCAGCACCGGGAAACTTGGAAATGCAAATTCTTGGGCCCAGTCCTAAACCTACTAAAGGAGACACACTGGAGTGTGGCCGAGCAATCTGTGTTTTATCAAGTTTTCCAGGTGATTCTGGGGCATGCTGAAGTTTGTGAGCCACTGGCTTAGTGTCCGACCTCAGAAGACAAGCAGCCTGCCTGTTCCATGATTTATCTTGGTAAAAGTATCACCAGTTCCTCTGTCCCCTTTGCTTGGTCAGGAGGGATCCACCTGTAGTAGAGTGGAGAATCCCTGTGAACCCAAGTTGTATCCTGGCCTCCTGGGTGTTTAGTATTAGCTTCAGGTCACAAGTGCTAGTCGGGGTTGTGTAGCACCCAGGAGACAGGAACAAGTCAGCTACAAGTGAAGCCTCTCATGTGGACAGCAGGGTCTCTAACATCTGTTAAAGCAGCACATGTTCTACCTTTGTTCTGATAGAAACCAATGTGTACTTCAAAGTGGCTTGAGGATCTCTTTAGTTCTATATTTGGTGAGTTTAGAAATACTTTAAGAAACTGGTTTCACTGTAGTTTACAAAATGACCTTTTTGTGTGTCTATCAAAGTACTTTGTATCTGAAATCTTCGCTAATCTCTTGTGAGTTTCCATTTACAAGATGCCATTTTGATAAAATGCAGGAAGTGTCCATACGGTTACGCAATTGTGTCTCTTTGTCTGGAGAATGAAGGAAACGAAACTGGGGGATCCCCTGGAGGAATGACAGATCAATAACCCATTTCACCAGGTGGCAAATTCAGTGGGTCCCATGAGGCAGTGTGTGGAGTAGGGGAGAAATGAGTCATACTCTATAATTCAAAAGAAAATGATACGTTCATTTTTGACAGCCATCTGGGCTAGACCACCTGGAGCTGTTTCTGGCGCACTAAGGTAAAGAGCTCATCCTAACCTGCCCTGTCCTCGAAAGCAGCGTTCTCTACACAGGACTTGCATCAGTGCTGCACTGGGCTCCTGGCAGACAAATCAGTCAGACCTAACCGATGAACTCCGCTTCTTCAGTAGTTTGGATAATTCTCTTAATTTTGTCTGATAGTACTGAATTGCCTGAGAAAACTCACTGGTTTCTTGCACAGCGCAGTCTGTGAATCAGGATTTTTTTTTGTCCTTTTTATGTGAAAAAGTTGTACTTCTTAATCTTGTCCTCCTCTCCACCTTCAGAGCTCTCACTGTGTTTTGGAGTGTGGTAAGTATGGCCCCAGGAGGCCAGTAGAATCCTGTGATTTGTGCTCTAATAATCTGTATCCTGCCTGCCTTTTTGGGGTCTATTAGTCCATTTTCACACTGCTGTAAAGACATACCCGAGACTGGGTAATTTATAAAGAAAAGAGGTTTAATTAACTCACAGTTCTGCATGACTGGGGAGGCCTCAGGAAACTTACAATCATGGCAGAAAGGGAAGAGACACATCTGACATGGCGGCAGGCAAGAGGGACAAAAGTGAGTAGTGAAGAGCGAAGAGCCTCTTATAAAACCATCAAATCTTGTGAGAACTAAGTCATTATCATGAGAACATCATGGAGAAACCACTCCCGTGATCCAGTCACCTCCCACCAGGTCTCTCCCTAGACATGTGGGGATTATGGGGATTAAAAGATGAAATCTGGATGGGACATAGCCAAACCATATCAGAGTCTGAGCCTTATGCCTATCTGCCTTCATTTTTCTTCCAAGAAATGCTTTGTGTTAATGGGACTGTAAGCTAGGCAAAAAGGTATCAAAGTGCTAAGGGAAATAGTATATGTAAGTGAGCATGCATATCAACAAGTGACAGCTTTTTTCCATGGAAGTTAAGATGGTCTCAGTGTCCCTAATTGGCACCTGCATATCTGTGTGCACGCACACTCTGAGGGGGTCATACATGGCTGAACCCACCCTACAGAGCCCGAGTGGACAGTTATCCACGGGCTGTGATTGGATTTTGCTTCAGGGAACTCTCGATGACTACCCCAGCTGGTCCAGGCCAAGTGCCTGTTGGAAATTCCCACAGTCTTTGAAAGTTGGACTTAGGCATTGAAAGTTGTTTAAATGCAAATTACTTTCCACAAGGTAGAGACATTATTATTCATTAATATTGGGGCTTTAACGAATCTATCAACTTAGAAGAGAATGTGCCAGGGTCCTCATTTGGTCATGCAAGTCAAAGAGAGGTGTTTTAATAATGACAGTTCAAAGAGGAAAGAGTAAGTTCTGAAACGTTGTAGAAACTAAAGCCACAGACTTAAGGAATAGTATGAGGACACTAGTGATTGGTAAGACATGAAATGAAAAAAGGGAAGTGGGAAAGTGGAAGATAAAATGCCTTCATAAGTCCACAGGTCATTTCTGCCTATGGCTCCTAGTGACTGTCCTAAGCACAACTGTTTGTGGAAACCCTTGCTGAGACACTGATACATTTTACCTCTGCTGTAGCGTTATTGCTTCAAAGAATTTATTCATTTATTAAACACCTGGAGCATGCCTATACACCGTGGGCGTATCAGGAAAACAAAACAGGCAAAATCCTCTGCCCTCATGGAGCTTGTATTTTAGTGGTGAGATGGGGAGAGACAACAGACACAATGAATAAGGAAAATGTGGTGTTAAATGGTGTTAGATGCTATGGAGAAAAGTAAAGCAGTGAGGGGGTGCTGTTTTAAATAAGGTGGTCAGAGAAAGCTCACTAGGAGATAGCGTTTGAGTATAAAGTGAGTAAAGGGTGAGCAAGCCAGGCAGATGTCAATGTAGAGATCGTTTCAGACAGAGGGGAAGGGCCATGCAAGGCCCTGCAACAGGAGCATGCCTGGCTTATAGAGGAAGATCAGGGGCTCGGGGAGTGGTCAGTTTGGCCAGCCCAAAGTGAGAAAGGAAAACAGCAGCAGATGAGATCAGAGAGATCATGGCGCAGGGACGGGAAGGGAGGTGAGGATGGGGAAGTTCAGATCATACGGGGCCTTAGAAGACTTTAACGCTGAATGAGGGAGTTTTGAGCAGGACAATAATATTATTCAACTTACAATTTAAATAGGCTATCACAGGGGTTAGCAAACTTTTTCCGTAAAAGGGAAGAGATGGTAAATATTTTTTCAGGCCGTGAGATCTCTTGCAACTCCCTGACTCTGCCATTATAGCATGAAAGAGCCACAGACAAGGTAAACTAATGAGTAGGGCTGTGTTACTTTATTTACCAAAGCAGTTCATAGGACAGATTTTGCCCATGTTGACCCTTAGGCTATTGCAATAATCTGGAGGAGAGATGAAGGTGTTTTGGATCAGAATTGTAATAGTAGTAGAAGCAAGAAGGGATCAGATACTGGCTGTATTTTCAAGGTAGAGCCAGCAGGATTTGCTGTCTGTCAAACCAAATACTCCAAGGTTTGTGGTCTGAGCAACTAGAGTCACACTGTTGAAATGGGGAAAACCAAAAGGGGAGGTGGGTAGGAGGAGAGGTATAAGGAATCCATTTGGGACATGAACATTTGAGATTCCTTTAGGATAAAAGAATTGGATTCAATGTTCTGTAACTCCCCTTCTAGCTCTAATATTCTATGACTCTACAACTGTGAGAGAATGACGTCTACCCCAGTGGCTTCTGCTGTGATCGTGTTCTTCAGGGAGACCTTCCACACTGCATTACTCCATCCTTCCCAAATGCAATTGGTGATTATGTTGGCTAGAGATAAGTTGCTGGAAGGAAGAAATGCTGAAAGGGAGGCAACTTCCAGCTGAAACTAGCAGGGGGACTTGGAAGAGTGTCATAAACAGTATATGTGCCGGAGGAGGCTTTGAGGGCTGGAGGCAAGTTCCTGTGTATCTTAGTTTCTGGGGGGTTCCTAGTAATGGAGTGTTGTCAGTGGAGCAGGCTAATTTTTAACATGTTTTCAGAAAAGAGCAATGCAACTTCTTAAACTTCACATTTACTCCATGGTCAAAATGGCCAGACTTCAGTTGTGCTCACCCTCTGTAGAGATGCCCTGGAGCCCTATGTGGATTCCGATGGCCTCTATACGCCTGCAGGACACAGCCGTGGTCTTTGTCACTAGCTTCCCAGGCAATTTCGTCTGTCTTCTCTCTCATCTCTCGTCACTGGGAGATATGTCTTCTGTC